ATATTCTATGTGGTCAGCTCTTTTGAGTTCATAAACCACTTTCACATCCATGTTCCCATTACCTCCTCACAACAACTCCAAAAAGTGGGGAGAGCAGTTACTCTTAGTCTCATTTCACAGATGAGGAAGTGACTTGCCCTAAGTCACACAGCTACTCTAGGTCAAAGCCCTACACTGGACATCTGCTCTCATTTCTACCTGACATGCCTGAATACAGTCATAATGTGACTGCTAGCTATCTGTAAGCAACTTGGCATGTTCAGATGTTAGCTCTCAATTTGCCCCAATTCAAGGCCCTGAATAGGAGTCTGTGGTGTGTCCATTGCCCCATGCATGACTAGCAAGATATAAATAAATAGCTCTCCCCTCCCCAGGGTAAAGTGGCAAAAGCCCTGGTTCTGAGCCTGGCACAGCTCAAGACATGTGGTTGGCACACATGCTTACTCCCCTGGGTTTGAAATATGGCAGAAGCTTCCCAGCTGGGTTCCTTGGCATTTTTCCAACCCTCTTGACCTTCTTTCTAGGTCCATCAGGATAATTTCTTCTTAGACGTCTCTCAAGCTTTAGAACTGGGTAGGAGAGGGATCTGAAATATTCCTAATTTACCCAGTGAGGGATGGGCCCATAAGACAGTTGGCCAAATCTACCTGTCCAAGATGAACCTGAAGATCCTGAAGCCCAGGCCTTACTCCTCATCTGGTCTTTCCTGCCAGTTCTCACCCAACTCCCAACCCCTACCCAGCACCCACACTCTGCAGCCCTCTGCCATCTCTGTCACTTTCAGTTGGCTACACCATGAATGACCTCGTGTTTGAGTGGCTGGAAGATGCTCCTGCTGTCCAAGTGGCTGAGGGGCTGACTCTGCCCCAGTTTATCTTGCGGGATGAGAAGGATCTAGGCTATTGTACCAAGTACTACAACACAGGTAAAAATCCAGGATCATTGCTGGCCTCCAGATGGGAGGGAAGGGATCAAGGAAGTCAGCCTTTATTGAAATTCCAATCTGTGCCACATATGGTTTTAAGTGCTTCATATAGTTTATCTCACTTCATAGACATAGCAACCCTATGTAGTAGGGATTTTCAGTCCCATTTTTCAGAATGGGGAAATTGATGTCTTAAGAGGTTAAATGAATGATCCAAATCACAAAGTTAGTAAATAGTAGATTCAGAATTCCAATCCAGGTCTGTCTAATTCCCTGGCACATGCCACAGAGCAAATGGGCTTGTGCCAGTGAGTGGCACCGAGTGTCACACCTTGCCTGGGGCCAACTTAGTATAGAAGTTGGGGAATCCACATCTGGGAGTAGTCAATGGCTATACTGAACAAGGAGGGAACAGAGTCCAGAGCTCTGACCAGCCTACTGTCCACACCTCCTACCACCTCTACCACTGCCCAGCCCTCATGAACTGGCTTGTTTTTCCAGGTGGGAGACATGAGCCAGAAAGTGTAAAGGGCTGTTTTTCCAACCTGAGCATCTGCCTCCTACAACTCCCTTCCCTTCTATATTTCCTCTGGTAACTTGTCTTCTAGGATCTATGACCCTCAGAGGAGGCAACAGGCTGAAGAGGGGAGACTCTAGGTTCCTTCTGTTATATTCTGATATGCTTTGGGTGCTGCTTTCTAAATATGCATGTGCGTGCATCTGGGGATGCAGAGAGGGTGGAGAGAAATGACATATTGAATTTAGAAAAGTCAGGTAGGAGTGGAAATTGATACCTTTTTTTGGGGAAAATGGAAATATGTATACAGGTTAATGGTTTTCAAACTTTGATGTGTATTATATCCCCCTGGGGAGCCTGTTAAAATGTTGATTCTTACCTCTCAGAGATCTTGACTACATGCGTATGGAGTGATACTCAGGATCTGCATTTTAACAAGTATTTAGAGGATTCTAATGCAGGTGTTACAGAGATCATATTTTGAGAAACTTTAGTCTGGAAGCTAAAATTTTTTCTGACCTGTTAATCCAAGAATACCACTCCTTGGAACTTAGTATAAAGAAATGATCCAAAATATCAAGTTGACTTTAGACTCCAAGATGGCTCCTAGCCCATTGTTTATACTAGCAAAAACTTGAAATTGTTCTAAATATCCACCAATAGGGCAGAGGTTAAGTGAATTACATAGTGCATCTGCTTGACAGAATTTTATACAGACATTTGGAAGGATGATTGCAAGGAGTCTATATCAACAAGGGAAAGCTTGAGTGAAAAAGGGTAAAATTCAAAGTTGTACACACAGAATAATTATATTGAGATAAAAGAAGCAAACAAGCAAAAATGTGTTTTAAAAACCTGAAAGGAAATAGCACTCTATATTTCTGAAATAATGTTTTACAATGGGTAAGAGAAGTAACTTTGGAGTCAGATAGAACTGAGTTTTAATTTTGGCTCCACCCTGTACTAGTTGAATAATCTTGAAAAGCACAGCTTAACGTCTTTGAGCCTCAGTATCTATAAAATGGGAGATACTATTATCAAAGAGTGGTTGAGGGATTAAATGAGATAACGTGTGGCATTTTGTAGGGGCTTGCTAAATGTGAGCAATGAAAGTTATTATTCCTTTCTACTCATGTGTTCTATACAGATAGTCCCCGACTTACGACGGGGTTCCATTCCAACAACTCTGTCGTAAGTCGGTTCTGACGTAAGTCAAATACCTCTTTTTTTTTTTCCCTAGTTTTCATTATTGTTGCCTTTTACTATCATAAGGCTTTCACTGGCCAATTTTTTCAAGAGTAGATCACCAGGTCCCTCTTCCCAAACTATCTTCGTCTTCCCAGTCTTTCTCTGTCTTAGCAAACATGTCACTTTGAAGACTAAGGTGCACCTGACTCACACCATGTTATTTTCAATCACTTCATATGCATGTGAAAGCTGGATAATGAATAAGGAAGACCAAAGAATTGATGCCTTTGAATTATGGCATTAGAAAAGAATATTGAATGTACCATGAGCTTGCTAGAAGATCAAACAAGTATGTCCTGGAAAAAGTACAGCCAGAATACTCCTTAAAAGTCTCATGTACTTTGGACATGTTATCAGGAGGGACCAGACCCTGGAGAAGGACATCATGCTTAGAAAAGTAGAGGGTCACTGAAAAAGAGGAAGACCCTCAATGAGATGGATTGAACAGTGGCTGTGACTATGGACTCAAGCATAGCAATGAATTGTAAGGATGGCACAGGACCGGGCAGTGTTTCATTCTGTTGTATATAGGGTTGCTATGAGTTGGAACCGACTCAACAGCATTTAACAACACCAACATTATCAGTATAATTACAAATCCAATCTCAATTTCTCTTTTGGAGTTGGAAACATTATATTATAAACATTTGTAGTGAATACCTGAGAGTGATAACATCAGCAAATCATGGGCAGCTACAGCATGTAGTACAAAAAAAAAAAAAAAAGATGGTCATAAGTGCAGTTTATTGTAACTTGAATATGTCTTAAGTCAGTGACTACCTGTTAACAAGTGTTAATTTTGTGATTAAAAACAAAATTGCTGTTCCTGGGGGTTGCAAATAGTTAACACACACAGCTGCTAACCAAAAGGTTGGAGGTTCGAGTCCACCCAGAGTTGCCAAGGAAGAAAGGCCTGGTGATCTACTTTCTGGGGAAAAAAAAATTCAACCATTGAAAACCCTACAGAGCACAGTTCTACTCTGACACACATGGGGTCTCCACAAGTCAGGGCTGGCTCTACAGCAACTGGTTACCACATTGCAAGAGGAAAACAAAACTATTACCAAAAAAAAAAGAAAAGAAAAAGAAAAAGAAAGAAAGAAAGGGAAGAACATATGGGTATTTAGCAAAGGCATGCCATGGCAAGAAGCCCAGGAAAGGATTGAAGTGGAGTGGACTCAGGGAACAGTAAGCGATCACAGTAAGCAATACAACAGTAAGCGATACAACATATCAAAGCCACAATCAGTCATTGGTGGAATCACTGGCCTTAAGGAATCAGGGAGGCCTAATAAGAGTGAAGCAAAGCTCGAATAAAATAATAATATACACATCCTCCTCTATTTGCTTTGGTTATCCTAAGCCTCTGCTTCTGGGAAAGACTCTGGAGGAGTGTTTTCTTGGCCTGGGGCTGTGGGAAGTCTAGGAAAGTGAAGATGGCTGTCAGGGGAGGCCGAGCATTCGTACTTGTGCTTGGGGCCAATGTGCTTTTGGTTGGTGAATTGAATGCTGCTGCCTGATGCTTTGTGAGAACCCGCTGCCACTGTCCAGAGCTGGTCTCTGTCGGGCATTGTTTCCGGATGTTTGCTATCTGGCTGTTCTCACTTGCTCAAGACACAGGCAGCATTTATCCCAGTGAACTGTTATTGCTGAAGACCTTCTAGGGTACCAGCAAGTGCAAGCAAGGCTGCTGAGATCTGAGTGGATCCTTAGCTAATTGCTTTGTTAATAATGATAACAATAGTAACAGTTAACCTCTGTGCTCAGCTCCTCAAATACACTGTCTCATCTAAGTCTTACCAACAGCCCAGTGATGGAGGTGATACCATTATTACTCTGCTTTCCAGACAAGGGAACTGAAGCTCAGAAAGCTTGAGTGTTTAGCCTGTAGTCACAGAGCTAGTGAGTAGAAGTTTCAGGGTTGAAACCCAGGCAATCTGGCTCCAGAATTCTTCTGCTTTTAATCCTCTTGCTGTACTGTCCCATGGACGGCCTTCTGCTGGAAGTGAAAGTGATGAGAGCTAGAGGTCAAGTCCTTGATGGTTACACTGAAAGCTTCCTCAGTACATATCTACCTGGGGCTGTTTGAAAAGGGACTTTGATTGGCCCGACTGAGATGACCAGAGGTAGGACATCAGAGATAAGGCTGATAAGTCCTGACCCCTTAGGCTCAGCTGCAGGCTGGGAACCTGAGACCTGATACCTCACCTCTTTCCTTGTAGGGAAATTTACCTGCATCGAGGTGAAGTTTCACCTGGAGCGGCAGATGGGCTACTATCTGATTCAGATGTACATCCCCAGCCTACTCATCGTCATCCTGTCCTGGGTCTCCTTCTGGATCAACATGGATGCCGCCCCTGCCCGTGTGGGTCTGGGCATCACCACCGTGCTTACCATGACAACCCAGAGCTCTGGCTCTCGGGCCTCTTTGCCCAAGGTGAAGAGACATGCAAGGAACTTGCTTGCCATAGAGCCCCCCATTTCCCATTCACCCCCTGCTCCCTCATAGTCCCCATTTACCTTGGATATAAGGTTGAAAAGAGCTCTTGAGCAAGAGCAGGTGTCCTGCATTCTTTCTTCCCCCACAACATATGGAGGCTGGAGTTAGGGACGCTGTCTGGCTAGAGGAATAGAGGCGATGCCTGACTTACTTTTGACTTCCTTCAGGAACTCCTTCCTTCAGGTTCAAGATCAAAGGAACCTTAATGAGTAGTTCCCACACTCTTATGGTACAGATGAGGCAAATACAACCCAAAGAGGTAGGCTGACTTGTTCAAGGTCACACCACACAAGAAACAATAGAAGAAATACCAGGATTTTGAACTGACTTGTGTCCTCTTAATATGTCCAAAATCAGATACTATGATAAAGTTTCTAGAGACTGTGTCCATTTTCTGGTATGATAAAATTTTGAGGTAGCAAATAGCAATTAAAGTGAGTGAGCTCTGATCAGCTGGGGCCTGGTGATGTTTTTGATTACTCAGAGAGATTTGTGCTGATGGGATTGGCCTAGGATCTCCCTGCCTAATATCTTCATGTACAGAACTTAGAGGTCACCTCAAAGTCCTTATAGTCAGCAAGGCTCTGAGAAAATCAGGGATCAGGGCCTTTCATTCATTCAGTAATTATTTATTGAGCATGTTCCATGTACCAGACACTGTATTGGGCCATGGGGAAATAATGGGAAGTAAACCCAACACAGTTCCTATGGATCTTAGAGTGAATAGGTTCCTTCTTGCTCTGTTGATTGGGAAGCAGGCCTTGTGATCTCCCATCTCTGTTCCATAAGAACAGTTTTACTAGGGACTTAGGGGAAATCTGGGACATCTGTGGTGAATTTATAGTGGTTAAAAGTACAGAGTAGGAGATACGAAATCAAACAGATTTCAGTTTAAGTCCCAGCTTCATTGACCTTAGGGAATAAGAATATCACCTCTTCCATAGGGTTGTTGTAAAAAATAAATAAGATAACGTATTAGCAAAGCAAATAGTAGTTGGCTCATAATAACTGCTCAATAAATGTTAGCTATCTGTTGTTATTAGTAGTGGTCAGTTGTTATTGAATGATGGACTTGGGGCTAAAATAGCTGGTGTCATTTCCAATGATCTCTGAGTTGCTGGGAAACCTTTGAGGTGGCCCAAAGCCCCATAGGGATAAGTGATGACAGAGCTTATATTAGGATCAAGAGTTCCAGGAAAAGCTGTCACGTTTCATTTCTTGTAAATGTGTTTCCTAGGTGTACAAAGATATTGATGAGGCTCTGAGTGGTAGGCTAAGCTTGCACAATGACTACAGGGCCAGGCTGGGCTGTGATGGCTGTGTTGTGCTAGTGGCTTTGTATTGAGACCAAAGGCAGAAAAGCAGTTCAGACATAAGAACCCTGCCCTAGTTTACTGCCACTGCCACGCATGAAGGAGATTCTTTTCTTACTCAGGAAAGTGCAGCAGTGTGTGCCTTATTCTTGCCAAGAGAACTTCCTTTTCCAGTGCCCTCCTGTGAACAAGTACAATCCATCTGCTCCTAGGAAACACTTGGTTTCCAACATTTGGAAAAAATTAATTTGATTGGAAGGTTGTTTGTTTTGCAGCATCTGATGCCTTCTCTTCAGAGACCTTTTCATAGCCTCATTGGCCAGTAAGCAAAATACCCAGGCACGTATTCCAAACTAAACAGCCTCACAGGGCAAAAGTCTGAGAAAGCCATGGAGCTTCTGTTCACTCTTGAGTTGTGAAATACTAGGTTTTGTGGGAGGCCTAAGGAAAGAAATGGAGCCATGTCAGGAGCTTCTGGAAGCTACTCCTTTCCTACCCCCAATACAACTCCAGTGCCTGGAGAAGAGAGGAAGTAGAACCTTGTAAGGGAGTTTAGCTGAGATGGTCATTCCCCATGCTCCCAGATAACCATTCCTTCTCTGCCCCCTATAGGGATCTCAAAGGCACTGATCACTGCTTCTTCTCCAGGCCCTTGATCTACACAACTGCAGGTGGCTCAGAGCAGGATGGAAGCACTAAATACAGGTTTCTACCAGAGACTGGCAGATTAGACCTAAAATTTCACAGGGAAGAGGGATCCAATTCTCTCTAAACCCTATCATCTATATGGCCCATAACGCTTGGGGCAAGTAGTGGTGAGGAAGGCAAAGAGAGCAAGAAGAAGCCAGCAGGGATAAGCACATTGCCAATCCATCCATCCATCCATTAATTCATTCAACAAATATTTACTATATTTCAGGCACTCAGTTAGGCACTGGGGAAAGAAAAGTGAACAAGATAGAAACAGTTTCTGCCATCTTAGAGCTCATAGTCTCGTGGAGAAAACAGCCTGGTGTATGTGATGGTTGCTAAAAAGGCATAGGTAACCTGGGTACATATAGTAGGGACAGCCAGTCTAGACAGGGAGAATAAGGGAGGGCTTCCCAGAGGATGTGGTATTTAACATGAAACTGAAGGATAAATAAAAGTTATCCAGGAGAAAGGGAGAGAGAGAGAGCTTGAGTCCTTGGGGAACTACCGAAATAATTAATCATGGCAGGGTCACAGATTGCAAGAGGAGAGATGAGGAAGAGGTAGTCAGGGACTAGATGTCATGCTACAGTGAGTAAAGACTGTATCATAAAGATAATGGAGAGCCACTTAAGGGTTATAAGCAAGGGAGTGGTATTATAACATTTCTAATTTGAAAACAAAACTTTGACTTCTGTTTGGAGAATAGATTGAAGGTGGCAATAATAGATGCAGAAAGACCATTTAGAAGACTATTGAAGTCCTTCAGGTGAACTAGGATAATGAGTGGATGGATTTCAGAGATATTTAAGAGGTATTATCAAACCCAGTGGGAGCACTGGTGGCATAGTGCCTAAGGCATCTGACTGCTAACCAGAAGGCTAGCTGTTCAAACCCACCAGCCACTCCTCGGAAGGAAGGTTGGGCAATCTACTTCTGTAGTGATACTGCCTCGGAAACCCAAGGAGGGGTTGCTATGAGTTGGAAATGACTCAACAGCAATGCATTTGGTTTTGGTATTTTTATCGACATACTCATTGTTAAAAATAATTTCTTTCTGGTGCTTAACATGTCCTTTCTCTGCAAAGATACAAAGCCCTTCATGGCCTCCCTTGTCAATAACTCATTATTGATCTTTATTGCAGTCACTGAACATCCCCAGGAGCACAGTGGGATTGGGAGTGGTGAATGAAATAGAACACCCTCTTAGCAGGTGGCAAAGTGGAGACACCAAGGGATGGCTAATCAGGGATGCCTAGTAACCCACCATCACTATCTCAGTGGAATTACTCTAAACAAAGTAGAACAGGGTTTCTCAACCTAAGCACTATTGACATTTTGGGCCAGATAATTCTTTGTTGTTGCAAGGGAAGGGGAATGTCTTGTGCATTGTAGGGTGTTTAGCAGCATCCCTTTCCTCAACCCATTAGATGTCAATCACACTCCTACCCAACTTGTGAAGATCAAAAATGTCCCAAAACATTGCCAAATGCCCTGTGGGGGCAAAATTGCCCCTGATTAAGAACCACTGAAGTAGAGGGTGTATCTAGTGAAACCTGATCTTACCTGGGGACTGTAGCATTCTCACTGCCCAAGATAGCTTAGGCTGGTGAAAGAGGTTGCCTGGCATGAATTCCATTCCTGCTAGGGAGCCCTATGTGGTGAGCTCATCAGTTCAAAACCACATAGGGAGTAAATCTGGTTAAAGAGATGAAAGGACTTCATAAACCTGAGTTCAGTCCACACTCCTGGCTCCACTCAGCCACAACTCTATTCCAGGAGAGATATGAGTGTACAGTCTTCACAAAGGGCAGGGGAGGGGAAATTATTTAGAGGCTGCAAAGGCAGGTGGTGAGAGGAGAACACTAGAGAATGGATAGGTGGATGTCAACAGTGCCTTGTAATTAGAGAAATGTCCCTACCAAGGAGTGGGTGGTCTCATCTTCAAGGTGAGATGAGGCCCTGGCTCACTACTGAGCTCAATTCCTCAGTAAGGGCTCTCAATGGAAGCAGAAGGAAAAACCACAAGGTCAAGGGAAGAATTGAGGTGGAGGAGGGAAAGGAAGGAGCTCCTAGCCTGTCAGTGAAGCTGCAGGCTACATAAATGGCAATGCCATTAAAATAAAATTCCAGAACCCCTGAGTTCTAGTGCCACATTGCCACTGAGCAATCTCGTCCTCAACCCTTCCTCTCTGGGGCTTAAGTGTCCTCATATGTCTCACATGGGACTAATGAACCCTGCCGAAATATCGCAGTGGCTGTGAGGACCCTAGAAGATAACAGAAGACAAACAAATCCAGTGTTCATGCTCATTGCTGGTTTATTGAAATAAAAGAATCAGAAGAAGATAAGAATGAAAAGAATTATAAGAAGCAGAAACACAATAGCAAGAAGAAGAACGGAAGAAAGGAAAAGAACTATGGGGAGGGCAGGGAGTTGAAGGGTGGAGAGTGCAGAGAGGCAAAGGAAGATGGGTAGCTCGATCTCTTTGACATAAGCCTTCAGATAACAGGACACATCATGGACAGCTTCTTTAAAAATCAGGAAAAATTCAGGATAAAACTGAAGAACAACAGGCAGTTGATATGGGCTGGTAATGTACTGGTTAGACAACGGAAGGACTCCAAGAAGGCCGATTGTTCTTTGGGTGAATGTTGCAGGTGTCCTACGTGAAGGCAATCGACATCTGGATGGCTGTGTGCCTCCTCTTCGTGTTCGCTGCCCTGCTGGAGTATGCTGCTGTCAATTTTGTCTCTCGTCAGCATAAGGAATTCATGAGACTCAGAAGGCGACAGAGGCGCCAACCCATGGTGAGTACAACTTGGGAGGGACCCACTTCCTTTATCCTTTGGACTCCTCCCTCCCTATTACTCCTCCTACAAACCAAGACCCAACCTAGGGCTGCAATCAGGACAATCAGGACGCCTTATTATTCTTATTCAGATAAGCTAAGTATTTAATCTCTTTGATTCTATTTCCTTATCTGTCCTATGGGGCAATAACTCCCATAGGGCAATACAGGATAGTGATTAAGAACATGGGCACAGTGCCTGGCACACAGTAAGCACTAAAATAATGTTAGCCAGTATTAAGACTTTATCAAGTTAGTTAATAGAAATGGGAATTGAAAATTAGTAATGGTTCCCCTGGGTCT